TTTTTTTTTTTGTTTTTGAAGGAAGTGGGAGGGGTATAGATATGTTTTGGAATGACAGAATTTGCAAGTAAAAAAGTTCTCCCTGCAGTGGTGCATTTCAAAATCATGCAAACCCCATTTATGAGACAATCAATGAACCTTGAAGGGAAACAAATAAAACAGATCAAAATCGTCCAGTCACAACCACACACATGTGCACCACAGGGCTCGGCCTCTTTTAATATTCAGCACATACATGTTACAGAGCAACAAAGTGCAATCTTTGCCTACATTTACATCAAGGAGATGATAGATAGACATTTGCTACTTAACAATCTTATGTGGAACTTAGCTCTGTCTTTCTTATGTCATGTAATTTGTACAATGGGAACAGAACTTAAAAAAAAAACAATAAGGTTGCTTGAAAATTACTGATGTATTGCTTAAAAAGCTTAGTTTTATTAAACTGTCCTTCCAACAAGATCATCTAATGGTGTGTTCTGAGAACAAGCCACAGTCATGAAGTGTCTCACATAGTGTTATTGTTAAAGTTCTTCAGCTGCCATGAAACACCAACAAGGCCTCAAGAGTCAGGCTCATATCTAGAATAAGAAAACAGCTAGAATGAGGGTCTTAAGTAACCAATACACTGTATACAAACTAATGCTGTTAGGGACATTTTCTACCAACCAAGACAGTTAGTTTTACACGCCCCTCATTGTTAACTGGAGGTGCATTGAGTAAATGGAGATAGTAGATGGGTGCAGATTCACATCACTTCCTCCCACCTTCCAGTCACCCCTTCTGATCCCACTGGGAGTTTTAACCAAGTATCACTCAGGCACAGCATGATTCACAAGTACATAAAAATGTACATGTAGAATGTCATGTTATAATCTTAGCTTGACAATATTTTGCTGGATTATGACAGTACTTAAATTCTTCAGTATGAGCTGTTGACCTTGCTCCAAAACTATCCTAACATCGCTATAAATTTTAGCAAAGTCCACATCCTGGCCCGATTCCAAAATGGCATCAAAGTCTCTTGCAATTCTTCACAACAGGAGCCCATGTTCAGATATTTTCTAAACTTGGTAAATTTCATATTGATATTGTGGTCTTTTTATATACTTTGGCTCAGTGCTTTACTGAATATCAAAAATGCTAATAGGTATCAAACCTTTCTAAGACCATATTTTCAATGTATTACTCACTTGCGTAATCGAACTCGTAGATCTTTAATCTGATCATTCTTAGATGTTAACATCTGCTTCATATTCTTGTATTGAGTTGTTTCATTAAATTTCTTAGCAAGATCCTAAACAATAAGACAGATAATTACCACAAGTGAATTATATGAACATGCCAGTGACTAAATTATTCTTAGGGTATCTGTTCACGTTGATCACCAACCTTTTCTGCTTCTTCTAGATCATGTTGAAGCTTCAAAATCTCATGCTGCAAAAAAGTTAAATTATAAATAAGATACATTTACAAAATTTCTCAAAGGTTTTTTAAGTGATATATCAAACATGAAAGACAATGTTTGACCACATTTCCATACACCGATATTTATAGCAGAGCATTTTTGACGAATTTCGAGATGTGTTCAAACAGGTCTTTCGTGTTTGATACATCTTCTCAATTGAAACTAAAACTAAGGACAAAATGGATAAATAAAACCGTAAAAAGTCTATGCTAATTAAGATCTTCATATATTCAAACAATATCACAGTACTGTCATGATTTCTCTTGTTTTAACTTGATTAATTATTACTGATTGTGAAAGATACAACTTGTAAATATTTACTTTGCAGTTAGTTAATTCCTCATGTAGTGATGCAGCTTGTGTAGATCCCCTTTCTTTAGACTGTGGAAAGAAAAAAAATTGCAAAAAGGGCTTNGATGTTAACATCTGCTTCATATTCTTGTATTGAGTTGTTTCATTAAATTTCTTAGCAAGATCCTAAACAATAAGACAGATAATTACCACAAGTGAATTATATGAACATGCCAGTGACTAAATTATTCTTAGGGTATCTGTTCACGTTGATCACCAACCTTTTCTGCTTCTTCTAGATCATGTTGAAGCTTCAAAATCTCATGCTGCAAAAAAGTTAAATTATAAATAAAATACATTTGAAAATTACAAAATTTCTCAGAGGTTTTTGAAGTAATATATCAAACATGAAAGACAATGTTTGACCACTTTTCCATACACCGATATTTATAGCAGAGTATTTTTGACGAATTTCGAGATGTGTTCAAACAGGTCTTTCACGTTTGATACATCTTCTCAATTGAAACTAAAACTAAGGAGAAAATGGATAAATAAAATCGTAAAAAATCTATGCTAATTAAGATCTTCTTATATTCAAACAAAATCACAGTACTGTCATGATTTCTCTTGTTTTAACTTGATTAATTATTACTGAAAGATACAACTTGTAAATATTTACTTTGCAGTTAGTTAATTCCTCATGTAGTGATGCAGCTTGTGTAGACCCCCTTTCTTTAGACTGTGTAAAGAAAAAAAATTGCAAAAAGGGCTTCAGTGATGTGCCACAGTATGCTGTAACTATCAAAAATTAATTTCAAACTTTCTCAGTCAGTGGCCAGCAGTGAAATTGACACAGAAACTGAAGTATTGATGAAATTTACCATTTTCAAATCTAGTTTGGCAGCAGCCATCTGTTCCTCAAGATCAGCTACTTCTTTACCATAGGACTGTATGTGAAAAATAAAATGTGAATATTAATATTAATTCACATTAACATTGAAACCATCCACTCAGATATTGATGCATTGCCTGGCAAAAAACTGCTGGGCCATGCTGTGAAGAGCTAGTGCCCCATTCAGGAGAACTAGCTATTTGCCTTATTCCAAAATGGCCGCCATTTAAGTATTCTTTTGTTTACTTGCAAATTAGCCCTTGTTGCCTRGTTCTTAAACTCGATATTCAAAAGAATATTTTCCCTTAAACGAGGCAACAAGGGCACATTTTCAAGTAAACAAAAGAATACTAAAATGGCGGCCATTTTGGAATAAGGTGTATACTCACGGGTTGCTTCAAGTTACAGAACCATGACTTAAATGGACACAATCATGAGGCTTTTGCTGCATTTTTGGTTAAAATGGCTTTAACATTATGGTGCACAACACTATGATTCATGCACATGCATGATAAGTACTTAGTACAGTATACAGAATCCTGGGATGAAGATATTTAAGTGAACTTTTTAAGGGAGGACAGAGATGCAGTGATTTGTCCAAGACAAGTTAGAACTCAGAATTACTGTTGCATGCATATATGTGATTGCACCCGGCTTTGAAATATATAGCTTCTGAGTGCCTAGGTATTGATAGTAATTTATAACAGAACTAAACCACTATTTTTCAGTTTCTATTGATCTATATACATGCCTTGGTATTTTTCATTTTTGGAGCTCACACTAGAGTCCCTTGTGCTAACAGAGTGTGGGTTATCGTGGCTTGTACTATGTACACTGAGACTTTAAACACTAAATCCAGGGGAGGACTCTCAAAGAGGACGGGGGTGCTTGTCACAAATTTTGAAAAGAACACCTAGGAGGTGCCAAGATCCTGTTTTGTGGGCATGGCTTGAAATTTTTTTCACCCCTAAGATGTACTAAAACAACATAATAACTGAAACTACCTTTTTTCTGCTCAATACCCTAAAAGTTATTGTGAAAAGCTCTTGCAGTAGACCTTTTGGTGCTGACCACCTCAATAGGTAACAAACCCGCTTTTTAAGGGCCCATTAACCGATGTAGGCGCGCGCTTGCGCACATTGCTAAGGAGGGTGAAATTTCACTTCCGGTTACTTATGTCAGCCTGAGCGCAGAAAATAAAAATAACTCAATAACTTCCAAATTATGTACTGAGATACGATCTTCAAGTCTTTCAAATATTTCACAAGTGAGCACAGTGAACGAGTGAAATATTTTTCAACAAGAGAAAAGAAATTTCTTATCTCCAAAAGACGAAGCATGCCATTTTCTTTTATTAAATAAAATTCTCATAATACATAACAAAGTTTTAGGCGAATTTCATAAGATTTCCTACCACTTTGCCAAAAAATTACCAAAGATTCTTCAAAAGTTGTCTGAAGGCCAGATGAACGTTTCTGAATATTTTCCAAACATTTTTCGTAGATTTCCAAATAACCGAGGATTGCCGTAGACTTCCGAAGAAAATGCAAAGATGTTTCGATCATACACTAAGTGATATCAAAAAGGATGTCACACGAGTGTGGATAAAAATGATATCCTCACATGTGGGATATCATTTTCATCAATTTGCAACCACTCGGTGTACCACAAAGTTTTATACAATAAAACTGCATATTACAAACTCTGGGAGCAAATTAAATTGATAACAAGAAGACTAGTAAAGAGAGAGTGGAGGTGTTGGACAGGCAATCCCCCATCCCTTATGTTGATAACAGAATAAATTGACTTCAAGACTTACCACCTGAAGTAATGCTGCCCCTCCACCTTCATTTAAAGGCTCTAGCTTGGGAACCTGTGACAACTTTGACAACTTAGACTGCAAAAAAATGTAATGATCAAATAAAATAAGAAAAACAAAATTCCAGCCTAAGAAAGACATGGACAATCAGCGATGCTGCCTCCTAAACAAATTCTCATATATTATTAGTTTCAGCAAACTACAAACTGTACCTGTGAAGTAGTTGGGCCAGAAGAAAACTCTCTTTCTTCAAACTTTGCAATTTCACTTATTAGCTCTCTGCATGAACAAGGCAAACATTGAACATTTGGGTTATTAACAAAGGCATGCCAACACAAGGTGGCATTTTAAATTTACCAATAGTGTTTTGGTATGAAAGTAGTTGAGAAACTACTTATTAATAAATACTGTATTTGGATCATGCCAGTAATACTTCAGGTTTCATGTTGTAATACATTGCACTTTTAATTCAATTCATTCAAATTATTTTTAAAAAACCATTCCTGCCACCTGTCCCACAGGATCAATGTACAAACCAGTACATGGTATTTAAAGTAAGTTTCAGATCCCTTTGTCACTTCTCAGTATCAACAGGATGACAAAATTTAATGGCCATTGTCAAAAATTGTAAACCAAACTTACCTATTTTCTAGTTCAGATATATCAGCCTGTAGCTTGAGATGCCATTTCTCAGCCTGACTAAACACTTGTCTCAAAAGAAGTACATTAGTGTGTGCCGCATTAATGAGTTCAGATTCTACTTCTCCCCTCACTACTGCACACAGGCCATCCAACATGTCTGTTACTTCATCCAAAGTATACGTGTCTTCCACAAGTCTGTGGAACACAGTTTTATCATCAAATCAACTAGCTAGCTGAGGGTTCTGTTATTTGGTTACCTGTGATCATCTACATGGACACTGCTATTAAAATAATACAGGACACCATCACCTGAGTATATGCAAAGTCTTGGATACTAGTCAAACTAACAACTACTGTTTACCATTAGTTAAAAAAAATATCCTAGCCTTCAATTTATGCATTGCTTTTTAATACCTGCTGTCTTTAAGTTCTTCAAAAGATGCATCAACCCCTCGAAGCCTCTGTCCTCGACTATAACGTGCAAACCTAAGATAATTCACTACAACCTGTTGATGATGCTGATTCAGTCCAATATCCTACAATAAAGAAATAATTTATCGAGTCACAAGTCTGGTAGCTTGGGTACCTAGGTCAGGTTAAGGGTGTTTTGACTTTTTCATGATTTCTGATGAGCATCTCGTCGCTTTAAATATACTAAATATCTCCCACTCTTCTCTTATTCTCTTTGGAACACCCTCTGACCTCACTTTTTAGCATAATAACACATTACACCCCATATTTGAGTAGATTTGGCAAAAAGGCAGATGCTTGAAGAGCTGTTAAAATGCATTGCCAATATTATGACCTGGTAATTCATTAACAATGCACAAAACAAGCAAAACCTTGCCCATTCAGGAGATTTCTCAAGGAAACTGCTAGGTTACTTTTGAATGTTTTATATCAATCGCCAGTGCAGCCTTTCAGTATCTAACAGACAATGTAAAACCCGCTATGCCAGCTGGGTACGTAAAGCTGACATTGTACAATGTCGTACGTACAACATGCAACATAATACCGATACTAAAAGATTAGAACGTCAAACAAGACTTAAGCTTAACTATATGCCAGTCATGTAGCTAGTACTGGATCTGGAATTCGTGCATTAAAGGAATATTTTCTCTCCAAGAAAAGCAACATCACTGATGTTGTTAGCTTCCTAGGACTTAACGAGTTTGTGGCTTTCCCTCGGTAACACATTTAACAGCAAAGCTAAAACAATTAACCTTAGCATTGAACGCTCAAAGTAAAGAGTTGTCAAAATTAAATATTATAAATTAATGGGACAGCTATCACAATAACGTTAGCTTAAATTATTCTCAAAGAAAAGAAAACATATTCGCCAACTAAAATTCAATTACTAAGGGCTACCAAATCCACTTATTTGATTGAATGAGTTTATCATAATACCGGATGAAATTCTAGCCGCTTAGCTGATAGGCAACAAAAAACTAAGAAAATTACTCACCATGACGGACAGCTTAGCTTGCCAGAGTACAGTATTCCTCTTTATTAAGTTCTAGTACGAATTTGTGGATTTGTTGGCCGACCAGACCCGAGTAGAAGTAGAATTTTTTTTAT